TTTTTTTCTGTACCACTTTTTCAATATATTTTTATATTTTTGTTCCTCTTGGATGTAACACCACATGTTACTTTTATTGATTTTTCTGTTTTAGGTAATGCATGTATCGTTTCCTAACTTAACTTGTAATATGTAACTTGTCAAATAAATTGGAATTAGGTGCAAGACCATCTAGGGCAACCGAATAACTTCTACCAGTTCGATAGAATCGAATTAATTACAACACATTAGGCAGCCTAATCGTTAAACAAGTTGATATCGTTCCATGGGATTGTGTGTGGGCATTTCCTGCGCAGCTTAGGTGGAAGCACAGCCATCATTTAGATACCACGGAAGAGCGCTAGAACTCTAACTTTGTGTCAGGACCTACGGGCCGAGGAATAGTCACAGGTAGACAGATTCAATGGGGTGTACACCTCCCGAAAGGTAATGCAGGCGTGCAAAGGTTTCCTCGGGCTGGACGGAGATTGGCCCACGAGTGCAATGGCAGAAGGGATCTTGACTGCATGACCCACTAGTCACTCCCGTCTTACAAGTCAAAGTTAATTGCCTAATTCAAGTAATTATATTTTTGGGACAACCAAATATTATTTCACTATTTGGTTGAATAGTTTGTTTTACATTATCAACAGATTATTCACAGTTAGAACCATTAGTCTAGAAACTGTCTCCAAGATTGAGGAATTGACACGTATCTTTCTTTATATATTTTTTTTTTTTTGAATTTATTTTAATTTTTGTATTCTTCTTCCCTTTGAGAAAAGAAGTCCTCATATCCATGTGCTTGTGCTAGAATATATATTATAGGTTACAACACCATGTTACTCATAGACTTTGCCCACAGTTTTCATTTGGTTGGGTATTAAAATGTTCCTTATAGTTAACCAACAGGAGTTGGCTCAAGTAATAAGCAGCTTCATGTCACTTAAGCAAGGTTTCGAGTTCGAGTCCTTGTGAATGCAGAAAAGCCTTGTTGGGATACTCACTCACCACTGTCAGGTGTGCGACCGGGTCGACCAACGGATTAGTTCTTGTTGGGAGACTCACCCACCACTGTCAGGTGTGCGACCCGGGTCGACCAACGAATTAGTCGGAGCGTAGCCCCGAATACCGTGACTGGCTACAAAATAAAAATAAAAACTATTCCTTATAGTTAAGTATAACCATTTCAATTTCAAATGGGTCGCCATTTTGTGCACGACTGCATGCACATGGATGGACTTTTATTTTCTCCTCCAAAATCTAACAAAACTGCGCAAATAGACAAAGACATGATAACGACCTAATTGATTTATATTCATGCATAAATTATATATATATATGCTACATTCAGTGTATCCTTGGATTGTTCATGAGCGATAGGTATGTGGTTAATCATGGAGACAATCAGTTTATTAATAATTGACTATAGTCTATAACATCTCAATGTTTCAAGCTTATGCTTTTGATTTGGTTTTTTTATTTTATTTTTTTCCTTTTAAAAGAGGATGAATAGCAGCTCTACGCTTACCCACTTATCCTCTGCATGATTCGAATTCTTGACCTATTTGTCTAAAGTGAAGAGTGTTACCAACTGAGCTACTCCTCGTCTCAAGTGAAGAGTGCTACCAACTGAACTACCTCTTCTCCCTTCCCGTCGGATGCTTTTGATTTAGTTTGAAGCTTTAAATACTTGAATATATTAAAGAAATTTATCATTCTTTCATAAACATAAGCGAAAATTTCATTTTTGAAAACTTCGCTTACTAAATTAATAAGCAATAGAATCTAGTATAAAAATAATTATACTAGTACCTTTTTTCATTCTTAGAAAGATTAGATTCTTTTTAGTTTTGAAAAAATGCTACTCTTGGTCCATCTGTTTACCTTCTAGTTTCTTCGTGATTCACAACTTATATGAGGCGGTCTAGCCATTAGACAAGAAGATAATACATATTTTTTTTATTAAAATTGTACACTTATGCTATTAAATGTTATACTTCTCTTCTATTTGTATTTTTTAAAATTGGCATTTCAGATTCCATGTGTGTACATTATGCTGAAAAAATTGTCTGTCTAACTTAACTATTAGGCCACTCAAACAGTATGCATGTAGATTTTTCTCATTCCCAGGTTTTACTTACCAAGGTATGAATAAATTGTGCTGCACGTTTTAGACCGAGCAGATATCCTTCAAGAAAGAATAGCGCATACTTTTTCCGGTCTGTATGGATGTGTGCTTGGGCATCTCATAGAGCTTTCAGAAACACGCACTCACGACTGAAGTTATCAACCGAAAATATGTAAAGTGCATGACAAACACAACACCAGTGCAAACAGTAGCTCGTTTGGCCAAGTCATCAGGTTTATTGAAATCCAACTCTGCACCAAAACGAGCAGCAAAGAATGTTAGAAGGTGCAAAGTCGTTATCTATATCTATATAAAAAGGTTTGTATTTAATTAAAATAATATGATTTTCCCACCAAAAAAATCTTAGTTACTAAATATGAAAAGTTTTTTTAAACATTATGTTTTACTATGTTTCTCTATTTCCTCTTGGTAATTTTTTATTTATAATCTGATGTGAAACTTTTATTTGTATTTTATTTACTTTGCTTGATATCTATAGTTGATCTAATATATTGATTAAACTTTTCAAAAAATTAAAATCAAATACTTCACTTTTATTTTTATTTTTGTGATATCAATAGTTTGAGATCAAACTTTTCAAAAATATACAATTATTTCTTTTCTATCTAATCAATTATGTCAGTTGACCAGTCAGGTTCGCTGGAATGAACCAGTTGCCAACGAACAACAGGTCAAAAACCGGACGACCGGTTGAACTGGTCAAAGATCGGACTGGTTGAACCGGTCCAGATTTTTTTTAAAAATAAATCTTGATATATTTAAAAAAGATAAATGAAAAATACATATTTAAATATAATGGATATATACAAGTTATTATTAGTTATTTTAAGTATTTGAATGTTTTAAACTGGCTTAAGATTTAATTAACAAAGTTTTTTATGTAGATTTTATAATATATAATATTATATATTTTTAAAAGTATTAATAAATTGAATACCGGTCCAACCGGTCCGATTTTCAGAACCTTGATATACAGTTAACCTAAATTTTCTATTTAATAATAATTTAAAAATAAAAAAGTAGTCTCAGGTTATTCGTATATAAATGTACATTTAATAAAATATATTTACATAAAGTAATATAAAATGGTAATTAATGTGTCGTTTGGCAAACTACCATTTAAGTCATTAGGTATGTCAAACTACCCTTTAAGTCATTAGGTGATATAAAATTAGAACAGTTATAATATATATTGATATAAATTATGATAAATCAACGAGCCGTTTGTTGAACTGTCATGTAAAAATTACAAGTTTAGAAAGAAATATTAAAATACTTATAATATATATTGTTATTAATTATGATGACAAACCAATGAATCATCGTTAGAACTTAAAAACTATCCATGTAAATTATAACTTATAAGGAAAATTTAGTATATTTATAATATATAATATTATAAACTATAAATCATTTGTCAAACAGCTATGTAAGTTGTTAACTTATTAGAAACAAATTAAAATATTTATAATACATATTGTTAAAAATTATAATGATAAACAATGGTGTTGAATTGCCATGTGGATAATTAGATTGTAAAGGAAATTTTAATATTTATATTATATTGTTATAAAAAAAACTAATTATGATGTCACTAAAAATTAGTAAATTTTGTACGGTATTCAGTAGCTGAAGATAAATAGAGTAGTATTTTTGTGAATTTTGTTTATTGATAATGTTTGAATATGTTAAACTTTCATGTTCCTTAATTCTAAATAGGAACTCTAAAATGGTAACTATTATAAACTATTATATGATATAAAAAATATATAAAAAAAATAGTGTTAATATTCAAAACTACTTTATACTAATCGTATTCCTTCAATGTTTTAATATATACAATTATATTTATTGTCACGTGCATCGCACTGGCTACGTACTAGTTCAATCTCAAAACACTTGATAACAAAACCCGTACAATGGAAAAGGATAATTACAAATGAGGCTCTGTGATTTGGCATAATTACATAATATGGAAGCTGATTACAGCAATCACAAAAAACCACCTTGTAGGCTCAGTGCACTTGGCATTATGGCATATATATGTTGTTAGAGACATAGAAAAGCTATAGCCCAATGGAAATTGATGTGGTCACCAAATATTCTGCACCTTCACCCGTCAACTTTTATAGGCTATTATCCACTTTCTAAATCTAAAAAATAACCATTTTGAAAGTTGTTCTGTTTTTACTATTTAGAGAGTTGGGGCGGTGCAATTGAAATATTTGGTCATTCAGCAAATTCCATCTGGCCGACCAACTACTCTACTAGGCAGAATGTAAGATATCAAAGTCAAGTGTGGCTTTCGTAGTATGCGGAGATAGCTAGTTCTGTCTGGTAATATCACTTTATGCAAAGGAAAACTGGGGAAAGATAAATGCGCATGCCTATGAAAGATGGAATCAATATATTCATGACTATCAACTTCAAAAAACGAATCAACACACCTTTGATTATTTACGAAACTGCAATTCTCTTTCGACTCTCGAAATCCTCTTTCCATGCTTCCCTAGCAATTCTGACTTCGTTTAACTGATTTTCAGGGATACTCGTGTTTGCATCCAAAATCTCTACCCAGTCTTTCCAGGGTGACTTTGAAGGGTCCAAAAATTTAGACAAGTGAGGCAGCATGATAGAACAATAAAAATCGTCGACCAGTTTGAGGATTTCTTCAGATTCAACCAAAGTCAACATTTCAGGCCTCGTTAAGTTTCCGGGTCGGTTTCTGATGACGAAATTGTTTCCCCTCAATATCAGTACTTCGGATGGAGCAAGAGGCAGGATAATCCGTGAGAATTTGGACAGGGATAATTTCAAAACATCTCTTGGGAGTAAATCACGTTTTATAGCAATCGCAGTTCCTACCATTTTGCGTATCTGATAATATGCACAAAGAAAAAAAGAAAAAGAAATAAGCAATCATGAGTACAAATACATAAGCATAAGCATATAAAAAAAAAAAAAAAAAAAAAAAAAAAAAAAAACCACAATTCCCTTCTGGCTATTTGTACATTCTGCAATATGATAAAAACCCAACCACCTCCACCCCTTTTCTAGTCGCACCACAATTTGAATGATAAGGCATAATATGAATTCATACAAAAATACCACATATAACTAATCATACCGACTGAAATAGCAATAGTTACCTGATGCAACATGAACGACTCTCCACAAATGGATATTTCTACATAATTCAGACCACCCAAATGCTCCAACTTCCCACAACAACACTGAAAAATCTTTCTGAAATGCGAAGCACTGATCCTGTCCTTGTCATCGGGTTCATGCAACCACCGAGCATGTATAGGTACATTGAGAATTTCTTTCATTGAGTTGCCTTTAATTTCTTCAAATACTCCAGCTGAAGCTTTATCATTAAATTCTTGAATATCTTCTTCATAATCACCTCCTTCTGACTCGGAGCAACATTGCATGTCAGGCGACGCCACCTTTTTTGATATGGAACCATTTGCTCTCTTCTGTTTTCTGTATTTAGATCTTACTGTATAATTGTGAAATGGATGTTCTCCCTGAAACATTACCCAATAGCATAACTGGTGGATAAAAGTGAACTTTTACTTCTCGTTTCAGATAATACAGTATCGATCGAGTCATATGACTACAAATTAAGAAGATTGCATCCTAACACAAATTCTCAGCTTGTGTGTGGAGGGAAAAAAAAAAGCACAAGAGTATTATGAATTTTTTGGAATTCTATAGAAAAGGAAAAGAAGAAGAAAA